TCTTCCATCCCTGCAAAACCTTTGGTTGCCAGAGACTAAGCATCATCTTCCCTCCACTTAATCTCACCAAGCAAAAGAAGGAAAAAACCGCACAATTGATGGCGGAAGAAGAAACCCTTTACGCCTAAGCCCGCCTGCGGCGCCTGCTCCTCGTTACAAACGATAGCGGATGAAAACCCCTAACGATGGAAACCCACCCTAGAGAGAGAAAGAACCGAGAGTCGATATTGGCGGATACTCCGTAAATCGAAATTTATTTTAAACTCAATGAGTTAACACTAGTATGCATTTAAACTAAAAACAATTTTAAACTCAATAATTTAGCACTGTATGTGATTCAAAGCACCTATATTTTTATTTTATTTTTTATTGTAGGAGCACCCATATGCGAAAAGGTCGATGAGTGCACCTCAAGTGATTTGCATTGATGACGAGGAAGATTATGTAAAAGATGAACAATCTTGTGTTGCAAATACCAAGTACCTATTGCCACTATACAATCATTACTTATGCTGGGAAGAGCTTTATCGGGACACCGGGGGCACATTTTGATGATGATCTCGACGGTCAAGCTTCACAAATTTCCTCTGTTGCTTCATCCTATCTGTGTGGCCTTGAATAGAGGAAATTTGTGAAGCTTGACTGTCGAGATCCATTGGTTTGTCCATAGTACCCACTATTGTCGAGGGCATAATCTTCGCCTCTTCCAAATCTCCTTCAGACAAATGGCGATTCACTGAAAATCGATGAGAATTGAGAGTTCGGCCATCAAAAGATCGCATCTGGACTTCGAATTTCAAATGGCGTCGACTCACACTTTGGGAGATGGGGAGGACGAAAGGAGTAAAGGACGAATGTCTAGCAATACGAGGCGGGCAGATGGAATGTAATTATTTCAGGGTATTTTGGGATTTAGATGGATTTTACTACCGTTATAACTATTCAAAAAGTTTGAGTTATTTACAAGAATACATAGAAACACTTTAAAGCCGGTATATCTCAACTTCTACCTTTTAACTTAAAAGTACTTTTTTTAATTAAAAAATGGTTACTATCAAACTCTTTTTTTTAAAACTTTTTTTAATCTAAAAATTGAAAAGTGCTTAGAATAAGTGTAAAAGTCCATTCCTTTCAAAAAATTGATAAATGGAATGGAGTAATGCTAACGAGTGGATGTAAAAGTCAATTAGTCCCTCCCTCCTAAATCCTGAGCCAAACAAGCTTTAAGACACTGTTCATACTCGATATCCATGACTCTTGAAAGCCATTTTTTGCTGCTAAATACGAAAGCTTACAGACTAACAATAAAACCCAGAACCCCGCGAACCACAGCAGCAACCTCTTGTCTGCTTTTAAACCCTAAAAATCTCAATTCGAAATTCTTAAACAATGGCAGCAACCGCCCGATGCAAGCTCCGATCCGTTATATTCAATCCTCTTCCTCTTAACATTCGCCATTTCGCAACCTCGATCTTGAACCCTGATTCCAAAACCGCGCTCTCCAGCAAAGAGAAATCTCGTACAGCCCTCTCTCTCCTCCGAACCGAGACCAACCCGGAACGCATCCTCGACATATGCCGAGCCGCCGCGCTAACTCCCGAGTCTCACCTCGACCGGCTCGCCTACTCCAAGGCCATCTTAAAGCTCCGCAACTCCAATTACTTCGGGGGAATCCGTGAGCTCCTTGAAGAATATAAGTCCCGACCCGATTTCAGATCCGAAAAGTGCATTTCCCACTTTGTCGTTCTATATGGGCAAGCCGGCATGCTGAATGACGCCATGAAGACCTTTGAGAAAATGGAGGACATGGGGATCGAACGATCGGTGAAATCACTCAACTCCCTCCTGTTTTCTTGCCTTTTAGCTAAAAATTTCGGAGAAATGAAGAGAGTTTTTGTTGAATTTCCCAAAAAATACGGGATTGCACCCGACCTAGATACCTACAATACAATGATTAAGGGGTTTAGCGAGTCGGGATCTACCAGCTCTGTCTATTCCATATTGGATGAGATGATTAGAAATAAAGTCAGGCCAAATGCCACAACTTTTGGAAACTGTCTTGCAGGTTTTTACATGGAGGAGAAGTTTGAGGATGTTGGGAAAGTTTTGGATATGATGAGTCAACATGGTGTTTCACCAGGTATTGCTATTTATAACATAAGGATTGAAAATTTATGTAAGCTCAAGAGGTCAAAGGAGGCAAAGGCATTGCTTGATGGAATTTTGTCCAGGGGCTTTAAGCCAAATTCTTTAACTTATGCCCATTTGATCTATGGGTTTTGTAAGGAAGGCGATTTGGAAGAGGCGAAGTGTATGTTTAAAAAGATGGTTAACAGTGGATGCCAACCGGATAGCGAGTCATACTTTAGGCTGGTTTACTTCTTATGCAAAGGTAAAGATTTTGAGGGTGCAATGAAATTTGCTAAGGAGTGTATGGAAAAGGGTTGGGTTCCTAATTTCTCGACTATGAAGATGCTCGTGGATGGGCTTGCAAGTATTTCAAAGGTTGAGGAAGCCAAGGATATCATTTCACAGTTGAAGGAGAAGTTTTCTAGAAATGCTGACAAGTGGACTGAGATTGAAGAAGGGCTACCCAAGTAGGAGGGAAATGTATCATGGTAAACTCTTATCTTGGTTTTGAATAATGATTTGGTGTCATGTTTAGCTGTTAAATAGTTAAATTTGATGGCCTTGGTGGATTAATTTTCTTCTACAGTGGTGTTTTTCTCAGTTACTATTTCTCCATTATTACTTGGACTTGATTTTGAAGCAACTTCCCTCTTGTTCCCATTCTAAGGTATTTGAGATTAGGAAGCTATATTGCCTCCTAATCTCACAGCACATAAATGTGATATTCATTTCTTCCTAAAATGTGATGTACATACATATAAAAATTGTGAATAACTTTTTTGTGTATTCCATGAGTGGCATCACTATGTTAATACAAATACTACGTGTGTATTTTTTTCTTGAATGATTTATAGTTCAGTTCTATATTTCCTTTTACCCATCTGCAGTTTTATAACTTACTCAAAAGTTTAGAAAACATATGTTCATTTGCAAGGAATACAGAAAACTAGAAGCCATATGTTGTACTGAGCATATGCAAAAAATTTGCTAAGTTTTTTGCAGATCTGAGAGTGTATTTATTTTATCTTCCAGTTATTGTGAAATGACGATCTTACACTAAAACTGAAAGGCAGAATTAAGGGGCCAACTTGCCAACAACCAAGCAACGATAAATGTGGTTTAACTAATTATTATGGAGAATATGAAAAATGCATATTTGTCAAATTGTTAGAGGAATGATAACAATATTGTGTGACTAATGCAATGAATTGGATAAGAAAGATTTTACAAGTGTACATGAAACTCTTCATTTACAGTCATAACACATGAGAATTGAGAAGTTGCTTTGGATTATCTCTTCTTTCCTAATGAATCCTTCACCTGCACTCACCATGAGGTATCCTGTGGTTCTCTCATAGTCATCTACCAAGAAAGTTCTTATTTCTCTTTCAAAGGACACTCACTCTTCACTACTCAAGAATCCTTCCTCAGAGTGCTACAGAATCAGAAGTCTCACCACTATTTATATTGGTCCACAAAGCTAGAGAATTGCTTACTCTTGGACTTTCTATGCTTCTCTTCACTCTCTGGCTCTATAATCTTATGCAGGAATTTACAAGACTCCATATTTTTTAAAAGATGTTCTAGGAATTTCCACTCTCCTACACAGTTCTAGACTACTAGATGATTGATTCCATAAACCAGAAGACTCTACATTTGTGATTCGTAGGGGGGAGTTGACCAAATTTAGAGATAGTTTGGACCATGGTGAAAACTCACGTAGAACAAAGACTAAAGAAAAGGGATACTGTTTTGTGCGAGAGCATAAATCTGTAGGCTCAAATATGTATTATTCCTAGCTCAAATATATCTACTGGGACTCCCCAATCGTGCATGTAATGTTGAATGAATAGAAAAACAGAAAATACAAAAACTAGAGAAATCTCTTAGGTAGATCAAGCCCGATCATCTCCACAAATTACATTGACCCTTCAGCCATATACGATACTATATGATATATCACTGTTTGGCCTGTTCATCATAAGCAAAAGATTCATGTCAATTAGCATTTCAGTTCTAAAGTAAGGCGATCATTGACCGATAATTAGAAAAAAACAATACAAAAATACATACTTCACATTCCATGGTTTTGTTGAAATGAATCAAACTATGAAAATGACTGTTCCGCCGTTGTTCAATTATTTCTGTCCGTCTCAATTTAATTGTTGTTTTACAAAATGCGCATTTTACAAAATGACATTTTATCCCTTTTCTTACATTTTATCCCTATAAACGTTTTCTGTAAAAAAAAATTCAAGGCAAAATGGCATTTAATATAAGAAGAATCATTGAGCAAATACGAAAAAATATGAATTCAATTCCGAAAACGAAAAATTAATTTTTGAGAAGAAAAGAAAAATTATATATGTGACTAAAATAAGCGTAGTTTACAATAAATGTGATTGTTGACTAGAGTAGTAACTTATATGTTAAACTTTTACACCTAAGTAAAACTTTTACAAATGTGATTGTAAGTAAGTTTCATTTTAGTAATATTTTAATAAAAAAAACTTCTAAGAAAAAATGGCTAAAACAACAAATATATTTGGTGGGAGGCAATATTTTATATTAGAAAACCGGACAAAAACACCTTTATTGAGGTTATTCATTTAAGATAACTGATTAACCATTAAGGATATTTGTATGTGGACTGTTTCCTAACCTAGATCAAATCAAACTTAAATAGAGCAGACCAGATTTCCATAGTTATAAAATACACAGGAAGCATACATTCATCAGATCAGATTTAAATAAACCAGAACATACCGGATATGATCAAATAAGACAAGACCAACAAAATTTTAGTTCGATTAAAAACATTCTAACTAAATTAGCCACACTTTTAGTACAATCATTCTACCAAACCACTCATCAAACCAAGCTGATTATTCTAATATTAATAACAAATAACGAGAACTATGTTTTAAATTTATAATAACATACAAATAATAATTGCAACAACAATAGTAAATAACAATAATAACAACACCAATAAAAATAAAACTAATAATAATAATAATTATTATATACGTAACAAATTATGATGAACATTTATGCTCTGTATGTTTGAGATCGGATTTTTGAATTTACTTATCCGATTAGATCACTTTTATAGTTATGTTTCACACCATAAAAGTGACAAGAGTAAAATAAGAATAAGAAATATAGAACAACTCCAAGTCCTAACCGTAAAACCCGTAAAACCCGTGAACCCCAGCTATAACCGCTAGTCTCTGCTTTGAAGCCTAAAAATTCTCAAATCGAAATTCTTAAACAACAATGGCAGCAATCGCACGATGCAAGCTCCTATCTGTTATTATCAATCATCCTCTTCATATCCGCCATTTTGCAATCTCGACTGGGAACATTTCCAAAGCGGCGCTCCTCCGATTCCTCCAAATCGAGACTAACCCGGAACGCATCCTCAAGGTATGGCGAGCCGCCGCGCTAGCTCCTAGGTCTCAAATGGACCGACTCGCCTACTCCACGGCGATCTTAAACCTCCGCAACTCCAATCACTTTGGGGCAATCCGTGAGATCCTTGAGGAATATCAGTCCCGACCGGATTTGAGATCCGAAAAGTACATTTCCCACTTTATCCTTCTCTATGGGGAAGCCGGCATGCTCGATGACGCCATGAAGACCTTTGAGAAAATGGAGGACATGGGGATCAAACGATCGGCGAAATCACTCAACTCTCTCCTGTTTGCTTGCCTTGAAACTAGGAATTTCGAAGAAATGAAGAGAGTTTTTTTTGAATTCCCTAAAAAATACAGGATTGCCCCCAACCTAGATACTTATGATACAATGATTAAGGTGCTAAGCGAGTCGGGTTGTACTAGCTCAGTTTATCCAATATTGGATGAGATGATTAAGAATAAACTCTGGCCAAAAGGCACAACTTTTCCATATTGTCTTGTAGGTTTTCTCAAGGAGGAGAAGGATACGGATATTCGGAAAGTTTGGGATATCATGAGTCGACATTTTGCTTCACCGGGCACTGTTGATTTATATGTCTCTATGATTGATTTTTATTTTGCGCTCAAGAAGTCAAAGGAGGCAAAGGCATTGCTTGATGAGATTTTGTCCACGGATTTGAAGCCGAATGCTTCTTCCCATTTGATCCATGTGTTCTGTAAGGAAGGTGATATGGAAGCGGCGAAGAGTGTGTTTGAAAAGATGGTTAGCAGTTATATCAATTCAAAGAATCGGCTCTTTTCCCTTATATCCGATGGGGGAGATAGGGAGGACACAGCTAAAATTACTTATGAGTGTATGGAAAAGATTTGGGTTCCTAATTTCTTGACTATGAAGATGCTCGTGGATGGGCTTGTAAGTATTTCAAAGGTTAGGGAGGCCAATGAAATCATTGCACATTTGAAGAGGATGTTTCCTAGAAATGCCGACAAGTGGATTGAGATTGGAGAAGGACTACCCAAGAAGTACTATGATGAGATAAAGCCCTGGGATTTGATGCCGAATTGGTTTTCTTATGCCGATATAACCTACCCTACTTTATTTAGGAATAAGACTGCTTAAATCCAACCCCTTTACCCAGCGAGGGTGTGAGAACCTTTGCAGCACTGAGGTAATGATGATGAAGCTCATTTAATCCATCGTTTGGTAAGGTAGGTGATATGGAAGAGGCGAAGAGTATGTTTAAAACGGTGGTTAGCAGTTATATCAAGGAAATCGTTTCTAGGAAATCATTTCTGTATAATTTTTGTCTTCGAGTTATTGTGAAGTGGGGATTCTCACCCTATAAATGAAAGGCAAATAATTAGGGGCTGATCGCAGTATATGCCAAATTCCCAACAACCAAGAGAATAAAAATGTTTTTTATTGTCAATAATTGAATGGCAAAATTATGTGCCAACGTGCCAACAACTAAGCAACTACAAATGTGGTTTAAGTGTTTAACTAATTATTATGGAAAATATTAGAATATATCTAATGCAAAAACATAAAGGATGCATAGAGATAGTCAACTGAAGGACAATAAATATAATTTTTGAATTATTTGTTTTTGGTAAATTCTCTCAACAATGTCAAACACAATGTTTTGATATAGACATTGTGATTAACATTGTTACGAAAAACTTACCAAAAATACAAAAGATCGTGAAAAGGAGGAGAGAGAACTGTTACTAATTCAATGTTTTTATATCTCTCTCATGTCATATGTGCACTGTGCACATTGTAGCATTGAAGATTCTCTTAGGCATGACATATGTCATATGACATGTGACATATGACATATTACCTCCACAACATATACATCTTCCCATTTGAAAGTAGGTAAGGTTAATAATAGTGAAAGATAATATAAATTATTGAGCATATAATGAGAAGATAATAAAATAACGTGTTGGAATGTTGGATAAATAAAAAAGTAGTTGTAATAATGTATTCTGTATCATTTTCAAAATTATTGAGAGTATGATGAGAAAATTTAGAAATGAAAAGATATAAGTGTTACCGATGAAAAAAGAAAGTGAGAAGATATAATGTTACGGAGAAATTACATCACATGTGACATATCACAAATTCATATGACATAACACATTTGTCGAATTGTTAGAAGAATGATAGCCGTGAGCAATGTAATGAATTTGGACAAAAAAGAGTTTTACAAGTATACATGAAACTGTTCATTTAAAGTCCTCTCACGTATGAGAAGTCTTTCGAAGTTTGGATTATCTTTTCTATCCTAATAAAACTCTTCACCTCCACTCACCATGAGGTATTGAGGTATGTTTTGGTTGTCTATCTCACAAGAAATTTCTTATTCCTCTTTCAAAGACACTATGCTACTTATAAATAAGAACTTTCTTGCTTAATCTTCAAATTTATATGCTTCTCCTCACTCTTATGCTCGAATTTACAAGACTCGGTATTTCTAAAAAATGTTCTAGATTATTAGATGATTGATTTTACACATGAGAGATTAAATGGGTAATATTCAAATGGGCGGTATTGGTCAATTCTAGTGAAATTTTTGAAGTTCTGGATTAAGTGGTTCTACTGATTTATAATAAAATAAAAAATATTTTTTAAAAAAAGAATTCCAAACTAATTAATTAGGCTCTGCTCTTGAGAGAAGGCACTGTATTATTCCAAGCTCAATTTGTCTACTGGGACTCCCCAAACGTACATGTAATGTTGAATGAAAAGAAAAACAGAAAATATAAAACTAGAGAAATCTCTTTGGTAGAGCCCTATCATCTCCACAAATTACATTGATCCTTCAGCCATATATCTCACTGTTTGGCCTGTTCATCATAAGCAAAAGATTCATGTCAGTTAGCATTTCAGGTCTGAAGTAAGGCGATCATCAGCTGAATCGGCCGATAATTAGAAAAAATTAACTTAGACTTCATACTTTCTTGTTTTGTTGAAATGACTGTTCTGCCATTGTACTTGAGATGGCCGGTCGCAATTTGATTGATGTTTTAGAAAATGTGCACATATTAAGACGTTGTACAAAAAGACATTTTATCCCTATAAATGTTTTCTGTTAAATCTTTTAAAAGCAAAATGGCATTTAATATATGCAAAGAGGCAATGAGAAAATATGAAAAAATATGAATTCAATTCCGAAACCGAACAATTATTTTGGGAGAAGAAAATACCGGCTAAAATAACAAAGGTATTGGGAGGGAGGGAATATTTTTTTTGAAAAACCCGGGGAAAAAATCTTTACTAGGGTTATTCATTTATGATAATTGATTAACCATGAATTAGTTTAGTCACACTTTTAGCACAACTATTCTTTCAAACCAAGCTGATTTTCCTAACACGCCGTCAGGCAAAAGTGCGAAACAATTACCAAACGACCAAAGATATGCAAAGACTTCAATAGTTACTTAGCACTCTTAAAGCAAAGCATACCTTTTTAAAAGTTACCAAGTACTCCGTATTTCCCAATTTCAAAATTTTCTTGGACAAAATGGAAGAGAAAACAAGAATGTGTTTGACTTGCAAAAGTCTTTCCACATGAAATAAGAAGGAAAGCAGTTAAAGGTAGTATTAACAAAAATGGAGAGGTGATTGATCACCTGGGAGTAAATGAAGGTTCCTAGGACAGCAATAGCGGCTCCAAGAGCATTAACGGGTTGAACGGGTGTACGGAAGATGATGATGGACGAAACTATCACGGAGATTCTCTTCATTGTGTTCCCTATGCTAAACGTCAAAGGAGAGATTTGATCCAACGACATATACGACACCTGGTTATACAAATGATAGAATATGCTCTGTGCTGCCACCCACCTAAATTCCATCATATTGCCAAGATCAAAGAATATACAAATGCATTTTAAACAAATACACCCACCATTGCCACTATTAAATATTTAACCTTACATCAGTAAACGGGCGTTTGGAACTCGTAAAATGCTCAAGGAGACAGAGAACAAAATTAGAGGGGAAGTTGGAAATTAACTAATTTGAGGTTGGGGGTTGTTGCTTCAAAATTAATAAATCGATTTAGATTTGGTTAAATAAAATATTTCTGTTGCATAAACACTAAGAAAAAGGTGGATGGAAAATAAAAATTGCTTTGAAATCAATAAATCAACTTCAGATATTTGTGCAAACAGATTTATTAAAACCTTTCTATTATACTCCGTACAATAGAACCAAACTATTGTAAAACCAAACTTAAAACCGTATGATTTAAACATTACTCCAAGATACATAAATATTATTGAAAGTGGCTTTCCCCTGTTGCTTTTTCCTTTCTATTATACCCTCACAAAAGATGAAAGGCTTGCCAAAACAGGAAGGAAGCCACTTCACAAAAACAAAAAGGCCTTACTTACCAAACAAAATTGGGACCAATCTGAGAAAGAGCTTGTTGCCAGCCAGCTGCCCACATTTTGGGGCCTTCCACATATATAGCAAAAGGAGTAAGAATCACGAGAGACAATATCGATAAGCACGCGTAGTAGTTCATCCCACTCACAGCCTTCCCAGTCATCCCTCTCTTTGAGAATATATTCCTAAACACAAACGCCAAATTCGATATCATGGCCCCCATAAACCCTGCAACAGAGGACATTCAACTTATTATCATTGTTGTTGTCGTTGGTCTTGTTATAAAAAGAATGAATGAACTCAGGAATAATTATTTTTCTCTAGGGTTTATTTAGTTCGAGGATTTGAAGGGTTTAAAAAAAATATTTCTACATTTGGAATTGGAAATAAAATGAAATAAAAAACTATACAGAAATATTTGATCTAACTAAATTTGTAGCTGTTTGCAGTCTAAATTAAAAATAGAGATATATTTGTCAAAGAAAAATCAATCCTTCCATCTCCTTCCTTCCCAGGCTCCGAAATGCCGAAACAAATCAAGCCATAGTGCAAATCCAAAAACCTTCCCTTGGTTTTTGGAGGGAAGGTTTTTTCTTAATGTATCTTGATATATAAAGTAACTAATTATAAGAACCACAGTTTTCTTTTCAAAAACACTGTGTTTATTAAAATATAGAGTAAGCCTTCCAAAGCCTTTCACATGAAACATAACTCTCCACCCAAACAGATCCTAAAGAAATCACTAATAGTAATTGCTGATGGTTCTCACCTATCATGTTGAAGTTGAGCTCAGTGACTGCAGCAAGTGCACACCCGCCGATAATCGGAAGTAGAGACAAGTAAACCGGAAGAGGGAAACTCTCACCCAGTAAAAACCTTGACACCAACACACTAAAAGCCGGTTCCCCACTCTTAATTATGTGTGTGAATGAAACTGCAACTTTTGACATGCTTACTGTTGCTGCTACATGCCCAATTGTATGTGCCACTGCTACCTAATAATAAACAATACACAGCATATAACAATCTTGAATAAACAAGGAATTCCATTGATTCAAGAGCCGAAAAACAGGTTAGCAATCAATCAGAGATTTGGAAGATTATAACTAACTAATCCCCTGTCCCGCTAAGATGGTCTCATTTTAGCTTTTCTGTCCTTCCCACTGTGTCTCGTACCAAATTTGGTAAAGTTTGTGTCTCTAAATCATTTTTACTTTTTTCTTAATTTATCAATTCAACATCAACCACATAAACCACTTTTTATTGATTTTTGTGCCACTTCCTCTTGTCCCATTGTTGGTGAGACGGAGGGAGTATTTAGCACCCGAATGATTCATACAAGCATTTTCAATCCAGAAAAATGATGAATTTTGGATGTTTATAGCTTATTCATTTTAAGTTATTGTAATTATAAATATTCTTTTAAGGGTACTATATTAAAATTGATAAAGAATTCACTAAAATTTTAAAAAGAATCAAAGATTCAAACTTCATTACAGTTTGAATCATCCATCTAGAACTTACAGTTGGTTCACCTATCTTTGGTATCCCCCATACATTAAACTCTAATGATCCACAACAATCACTTCAAGAGAGCTGCAAATTCTAATAACATTGATTCTTAAAATGATGGAAACACTGAAAAAACAGATCAAACTTTCATACCGGAAACAGGTTCTTCAGGAACTCAGGATCAATTGCTGGGGCTTCAGCAATCCTAGTAGCCCAAGAGAGCAGCATAATCAACGAACCAACCGCCAGGGAAAGAGTTGAAGTCAGCCATGGATAAGGGAAGACATTGAGCACTTTCTTGTTGTATATATTGAAAACCACATTCAAAGCCCACCAAGTGGCAAAGTAAATGCCGATTTTGAGCTTCTGGGCACCCTCAGATTTTGACACTTCATCAACGTTAGGATCCGACGGCCTTGTTTCCCCAGACCCTTGGGCTCTGCAACTAATCTTTGGGGTTCTTGATTCCAAAGATTCCAACTTTGCAAGTGAGGCAACGTATAAAGGCCTCTTAATTGAGATTTCACCGCTCAGAACATTGGATTTCGTGAGCAGTGGCAGAGAAAGAAACCTCGGAGTTGTTGGATTCAAACATAACCTCCTCGTCGGAATCAAACCCGACTGTGAGATAGAAAAAGTCGATTGCTTTCCAGAAAAAGCCATCTGTTATGAACAATGAAAAAGAAAATATGGCTAAACCTAAAACCTTTTAAAAACCCCTAAAGAATTGAATTTCGGCGGATTGATCGAGAAACAAATAGAAGAAGAACTCGGAGCAATTTTTTTTTTGTTATATATTTTTGTGCCCGAACAAGACGGCGGGCTGTGGTAGGTGGCAACTATACTGGTGAGAGACTGAGAGGTGAGACTGAGAAAGAAGGAGAAGATTTAAAGGTTGGTGGTGTTAGTCCAAGGTATCACAAACTATGCACAACGTACGATGTCGAATTGAGTATCTTTTCTAGCATCTGCGTTGGATCTTCGGTAAGCAACGACTGAATAATGTACCACGGATTCTAACACCAATAAGATTTGCGTTTCAAATTTGATTTTAATTTTGTTTGATGTCATATAGACAAGGTACTTGTCTATTTCTGTTTATTAGATATAAATAAAATTAGAATCAATTATAAGAAGGTGATCTTTCTCGGCTTCTAAAAAACAATTTCTAGAAATATTTGGAATACTCAAAGTATTTATGAGTTTTCACCCAAACATTCAATATATGTTTCTCCTTCTTAAAGGATCGAAAATAGTTTTTAAAAATAAATCTAAACACCCCCTAAATTTGGCGCATTTCACAGAGTCTCAGATGTGTGAAAACTTCTAGAATATTCTAAACAAATACTTCATCCGTCTCGTTGGACTTTGCCGACTTCCCCTTTTTGTTTGTTCCAAAAAACTTTGACACTTTCCTATTAAAGCAACTAATTTAATTTGTGGTTACACATAATTCTCTTTCCTCTGCACGAACCACAACCACACAATTTTTATTTTTCTTATTTCTCACCTACTTTGAACATGACTAAGTCCACCAGAACGGAGGTAATATGAAATTATCTATGTTGTTTTAAGAGATTATAGAAGTTTATGAGTACTTGCTGAAATATATAGAGATATAGTAAGTTTAAAGATTAGTATAGTGTATATCAATAGGGGCAAAAATTCTCATTCTTGAGCAACACTGAAGAAATGTATTAAGAGTGTTGGAATTGAATGGGACACCCTAGAGAAAGGAGTGCGAGAACTTTTTGAGTGATAAGAGAGCATACTTATGTCTCACCATGAATATGAGTGAAAACCATGTATGAAATAAGACAATTCGGGAAAGCTAAAGTGTGTGTGAGCCAAGTAGTCATGAATACCGAGAGTGTATTGAATGAGCCATTCGTTTCCTTGGACAAACTTCCATTAACATTTAGTTGTGGGATATAAAGGCTCCGTTTGGTATATGAGGATTTTGTAGTACTTTTTTTGAACTAAGAAACACTACATTTTGCAGCGTTTTGATATCAAGCCGCTAGATAACAACGGCCTCAAAGTGATATGATCATCTTGTCCCTTTGTATTATGCATTTGGTGTGTGAGTTTACAATGGATTAGGATCCTCTGCCTTATGACAGAGGACCTTACCAATATAGAGGGCAGGGATTAAAAGAGAGACATTGAGATTTGTGTCCGAAAAGGACCCACTCATCTTATGCCATTAGTTTTTTGATCTGATGGTTCAAAATGACCTGGCACCCTCCTTGTTTGTCTAAGTAAGGCAGAGGAGCTGGATCCGTTTACAACAGCTCTATGAATTCGAAATGTTATGAAGAGATGGAATTGTGTTTCTCAATATACGTTTGACTTTTGTTATCCAGCAAAGTTTTCTATACAAATTCGATAAATTTCAATTAAAATTATTAGCAGTGATTTATTTGTTATTAAGGTCGGGGAGAACTAACTACGCTATAAGCCAAACATCATAATAATATGCAAATTGATATTTTTTTATATATGAAGCGCACAAAAACTGAGGCGAGGATCATATGAATATTTATTAATTTATAACATTATATAGGAAAATATTAAAAAAACTGGTTTTAACTAATACTCCGTATGACTATCAGTAAAAAATAGTTAAACTTGTAGAATTGTGATAGAATATGAGAAAAGGAAGTATAAGGGGCGGAGTTATGACATTGCGCTGGACTAGACCGATATAAAGAATATTTAAAAAAAATTACAAGGATTTTTTATTTTTAAAGTTCAGACCTTTTTTGAATTTGAGATGAGTGAATATGTTCAATTATTTTGGATGTATGAATATGTTCAATTATTTTGTTATATACGGAGTACGTTAAACATAATGTGAGGCTACCTTTCAGTCTTTCACAATAGTCCGTATTCTATTATGGTAATACGACTTTAGAATTTCTAAATATATGATTTGACCCAAATTATACGGTGCAACCGGCATACCATGCGCATGATATGTCGGGTCGGATACGACATCGTTTTTATTAATAAAAAACAAAGCGGGTATCATGCCCTAGCAGAGCAACTCGTCAAGAGAGAAGCCCGATTTCCAATTATATGGTCGCTATCCCTGGAGACCTTTGCTCGTGCTATGCCGTCCTTCACCAGGTGTTGAAGACGAAGTTAAATCTTCCCATCGCCCCTGTGTAGTAGCTGTCATGCCCTTGAGTTTAATCAAGTGAATTCAAACCTTCCAATCACCGACACTCATCTTCCCCAACAAAACAAGTCAAAAACATTCCATCAAATACTTCATATATACGAAGTATTTAAAGAGGAGAAACAAATAAGAAATTTTAGTATATGAACTGTGTATATATATGTGGTGTGTGTATATATACATTTTAATACATGGAGTTACATCTCTATAATGGCGTTTTACATTTCAATGAGCTAAAGTTACATTCTCCAAGTTACATTTGACTTGTTTTAAAGTTACATTTCAATTAAAGCAGTTTACATTTCAACGAGTTATATTTGAATGAATGTAATTTACATTTTGATTAACCTGAAGTTACATATTGGTTCACGCAATTTACATTTCATATAATTTTGGGAGCACCATGCTCATGCTACAACTGTACCACGGTATAGGTACTGATGATTTGATCTTTAACTTTAACTCCAATTTAAGGATGTTTTCTTTTGGACTGAAATTTGCTGGTCTGGTCTGGTTTGAACTGGTCTGGTCTGGTAAACGTCCGATCTCTGTGTATTTTATAACTACGGAAGTCAAGTCTGATTTGGTCTGGTCTAAGACTAAAAACAGTCCAAAAGAAAACATCTTAAATATTAGAGAATATTACTATGTGTTTGAAACTTGTAACCGTATCCTCACGGAAAAATAGAGAATTTTCCCAACTTCAACTTAAAAAAAAAAGAACTTAAAACCATAAAAGTGAGGCGGATAGAATACTATACTACCACATTATTCGTCACTAACTCACTATCTGCATTTTTACGAATAAGTATAGCGACTAGGGGTGGGCAAACGGGTACTGGAACCGCGGGTCGGACCGGGTAATACAGGTTCGGGGTGGGTTAGGGTTGGGTCCTAATTTTAGAAAATCCAAACGGTTCGGGGCGGGGCGGGTCCTGAAAAACTTAGGAACCGAACGGGTCCTAAAATTTGAAAAAACAGGTACCCGAACTCGACCGTTTTAAAATATTATTTTAAAAATCTCTATTATATTTATTACTAGTATAATATAATACACTAACAACACACAAAAGCTCTTGATGTTCTTGTAAACTTCTCAATCTATTAGAATTAGTTTCTAAGTTCGTATAATTAAACACCTAAATTGTTTTCCTCTCTTCTCTATTCCAAATGCATCAGACTTTTTTTCTTTAATACGGAGTATTTTTTATAAACAAAGACCCTTACTCAATGAAGTGTGACATATTCATTTAATTATTTTAATTTTATTTATACTTGGAGATTTAATAAGCTTTAAATGTTTTCATAGACAAATATGTATAGTAACTAATTTAATTTGTTATGAATTTATGGTCCTATCTTTTTAATTGGTTTATGAGTGATGATTCATTTTAATTAAAGTGGTTGTGTGTTGTTTAATTTATAGATTTGTGGTTAGATATTTTGTTAATTAATTTAAAATGTTATCTTATACTTTTATTTTGAATTTTTACTATATTAGTTATAGTTATATTAACATGTAATTAATTTGAGAATTTTATAACTTACTAGAAACTTTGCTTGCATAGTCGTATTTTTTTTTTTTACAAAAAAGAATCGAAGACTCGAACCGGCCCGTTTTAAACGAGGCGGGTAAGGTTCGGTTCCTAATTCCTATTTCGAAACTTGGTATACTCGGACCGAACTTACCCGCTAAATGGAACCGGCGGTTTTTGAAAATTTACCTACCCGAACCGTGCCCACCCTTAATAGCGACAGTCATTTTAAAAATTTGACCTCCTCTGTAATTGGTGTTGATATGACTACTTATTGGATCCTTATAATTCTGTGATCTTTTTTTAATATTTCAATACTTTTTCCTCAATTGCATACGGAGTACATTGCAATCTTACGATTTCATACACCGTATGAGAGTTGACAATGTTTTGATGAAGCGAGTGCTCCCTTTGCCCCAGAATTATCTTAATATTCTTTTTAACGTTTGCCCCAAAATTATCTCATATTTTTCTTTTTGATAAAGAATTTATGATTTATAGAGTTTTCTTATATATTATTACACATTTCTTTTTTAATTATGTAACTCTTCATCATACAATACTCACTATCTTAATTCTAGTACCATTTATAGTTCAGAAGATATATTTGGGAGGAGTACACTTTTAGTACTCTCTCTCTCCCATTTTATAAGATGTATTTACTATTCACTTGGTCAACACATCACTTTTAATCTTTTACTTTATATATCAAAATTTTATGAAATGTAAATTATTTTTTGCAGGTTTTGTAGCGGTTTTAATGTAGTTTCTGAATATGTAATTCTTTTTTTCTAAAATTAATTGAAGTGCATACAGAGATTTGTTTGCTTTATCGTCGATCAAACATCGTAAACTGAAAAATATCTTATAATTCAGGATGGAGGGAGTATATGGAGTAACCCACAGTTCACATCATCTATCAACTGCGGGCACGTGGATGCTTGGGATTTGGGACAATCCTTTTTGGAATTAGTTAGGTTTGATTGGTGTGACATATGCGGTGTAAGAAGTTTTGACAGAAGAAGAATGGTGGCCAATCGAAATTATTGATAGAACGAACCAACCATGTGACCCCTCCTGACTTCCACATAAATTTTGAGATCTGAGACTCCAATCTCTTGGGGAGTTGGGACTCTTGTACGTTTCATCATATCTAGATATTCACGTACCCACTAGCAAGGGTTATTCAATTGGTGGCAATTAGGGAGTGACTGGAAAGTTAGAATATTGATTAAGGATTTAAGGTCATAACGTTTATGTGGTGATTAAAATTTTTGTGTGTTGGTTGGATTTCTGATGTGTATTGGTATAAAGTCTATCATCATTAATCTGCTCTCAAAGATTGAAGATT